TCCTGCCATCTCGCATGGTGTTCTTTGCAAAAGTTTTCCGCCGTATCCCATGCCTGACGCAACCCTCCCCATTTCGCCGGGCTTGGGACCGGCACTGGGGAACAGTGCACCCCCAGGGGAGGGCACTGCCCCCCAGCGGCTGGGTTAGCCCAAGTAAAGAATCATAATGTCAAAATCTGAGAACGAATATAAATTCATTTGGAGTCTCATCAAGGTCTCCCTTGGCACTCTCTGTATCGTGCGTGACCCAGCATTTGATATCCTAGCAGAGAGCCACTTAATGTATGTATCGCATCCTTCTGCGGAAAGTCCGCCACAGGGCAACAGTGTCTTACGGAAAGATTCACATAATATGCCATTTTGGGTTTAAATTGAAGAGCCGATGTTTGACATAAAGTGACTTCATCCTGAGGATTTTCATCAGGGTACCAAAGTAGTCCAGTCGACACCCGAGGTCAATTGTTAATGTGTATGTATCATGCAGAAGGAAATGACATTGTGATTTTTTAAAATCTGTTTGAGAGTGGGTAACCTCTTGCCAGTAGATCTTGATGGGGGAGGTGCAGGGATCCTGGACACAACAGGAGATGGGAACTTTACCCATCCAGTCTGCCTCACCGCGAACTCCACAACACCTAAACTGATCAGAGGTGAAAAAAAAAGTCAAACTCAAATGCTGAGCAACACCGTTGAATTGGGCAGAGGTAACATGTTAGTCAATATTTCAACAATATCTGTTCAGAATAAGAACATGGAGTCAACAAGATGCCTTCAAGTTTTATTTGAGTGAAGAGATGATTACCAAGTGCTGGACGGCATCAAAATCCTCTTTAATGGTCTGGTTCTCTCCAGGACCGGACTGCCTGTAGACTGCCAAACTTTGTGTCAGGTCTTTTTCAAAGTATGTGTCGATCTGTACGGTAGACAGAAACTCAGTTATCTGCAATATCCCAGTTCCTTGGACAGTGAAGAGACAAATTTCGCCTACAAGCAGAATCGGAACAATTGTTACTTGAATTGGCATAATGGGCTTTTCCGCCATAAAAAAAATGTGATGATGGGGTACTGACAGTTCAGCATATTATGTGCCGTATAAACAGTTTACTACCACTCTGCTGTAAACCAGGAACACACAAGCCATGGCCAGCTCTATCAGCATCAGGATGAACAGCAGGATGAAAAACTGCAAATGGATAAAATCAAAGTCATATAGGATGATTAGTAAATAAATTCAAGCTTGTTTTTAGACCATACAGCAAAAAAAAAAAAAAAAAAAACCACAGCAGGGACAAATAAAGAGACAGGGCTCTTTCTCGTGGTCAAATGGTTTGAAACAATAACAAACTAAACAGAGAGACCCGAGGGGCTTATTATTGTGGTCATAACCATAAAGCATTGATATTGCTATGGTGTGAGTTTTGTGTTTTGACTTCACACCCATGACATTTTTGTGAGTGTTTAGTGCCTTGCTTTGGGACACCTACTCAGGAAGCAAGCTCGGACCTTTCCTCCCAAATTCTCGATATTGTATGTTGGTCTGCTGCAGGATTTGAATCAAACACAATCATGGTCCCATACCAGGCTGGGTGAAAACCACAAATCCTAACCATTTAGATGAGACTATGAGGGAAATAATGGGATTGTCTTCAACCGAGGCATTACATTAAAATATACGCTTGAATCTAAGCTCATAATATATCGTCCATTAGCCTCTACCTTGAATTGCCCTGGTTGTCTTACAAAAGACATTTCACCTCTCATTCGAACATGTTTTATCAGTTCATGCATATGCCTAGGCCAGAGCAGTCATTCACGACTTTTGCCGTCTCAGTATCTCAATGATAGTGTCAAAATAGTACATCACTACTTTTGTGAAGCATTTCTTGCACTGACTCTAGTTACATTGTTGTGTTGTACCTCGGCTTAGACCAGGAGTGTGATTTTTGTCACTGGCCACATCGTAGTTATACTTTTCCTTGGATAGCCATTATGACTTTCAACCCATATATGATCCCTCATATTATCACATACAGTATATACAACAGAATCCCCTCCACCCCAAATGTCATCAGCTATTTATTTAATTCATTTTATTTTGAAAGGGGCATTGTAACAAAAATTCCTTGCAATCTCTCAATGCTATTAAAAGTGAAGACAATTTGCAATGTTGGCATTTTCGCAATAAACATTGACGCCGACACATGATTTGCCTTCTGGGGCCACATAAAACAATGTGGCGGGCCAGATCTGGCCCCCAGGCCTTG